CTCCTCCTCCTCCTCAGCTGACCCACGGAACTGCCTGTTACTTTCCTGGGGGGAGGTGGAACAAAGGGAGCCACGGACTGCGAGGAAAACTGCACCCCCACTCCCATTCAAGCATGTCCCCAAGGGCCCCCTCCCTCGAGGGAGGAAGAGGGCTCACCCATTGACCACCGGCACTCCCCAGCCAGCCCTACCTCACCAGCAGGCATCCAAATCACTCCCTCATCCTTCCCTCAACGCCCACGGTCATTAAGAGATTTCAGATTTCTGCCTCATTTCCAAAGCAGCCAATCGCCGCTCACCCACTGGGCCTTGCCACCAGTCAATTGGCGCAGGGGACAGAAGGAGGTGGTAAAGAGGCTGGAAATATAACCATCACGTGACCTGGACTGACTGTGGCAGTGTGGCAGTGCTGAAGTGGCCACAAATTTCCCAACTTTTAATCCCACAGGAGTAATGGGTCTGGGAGTTTGGACGCATTCTGTAAGTTAGCCCATTTGCGGTACCTTGGTTCAAAAATTGTTGCCCCATGATGCACCATTTCTCCCAGTTGAAGATTGCAGACACAAGAGTTTTAGTAGTATATAGATAAACATGTATGTGTGAGAAGTAAAGGGATAGGGGATTGGTCTCATAAATGACTATGCAAATTACTCACTTGCAATAATACCAAATAAATGTATTAAGAACAAATCTTGAGAATGTATAGTGATAATCCTGTATAATTTGACACATTATTTTTTTTGTTATGTGTTACAGGTAGCATAGTATACCTTGGGATGATGGTGGGAGCGTTCTTCTGGGGAGGCTTGGCAGACAAGGTGGGAAGGAGACAGTCTCTTCTGATATGTATGTCTGTCAATGGATTCTTTGCCTTCCTTTCATCCTTTGTCCAGGGCTATGGCTTCTTCCTCTTCTGTCGATTACTCTCTGGATTTGGGTAAGCTCTTTTGCTATCTTTGATTTTCTAAACTTCACTTCTTGTATGCTGATCTGTTTTAAGGTGAAGTGTACTCCCAGTCTTCTTTCAAAAGATCAAATTTGAAAATAGTGTGGTTCAGGTGTTTTTACATTTCCTTAGTCTGCATTGTTGGCTATGATCATCCCTACTATTCAGGTATGGCAATGAAGAATTTAGGAGAAAAGGGATAACTCCAACAGTGATGGCTGAAGATCCTGAGATGGATTAGCCAGTTTTGTACTGCTGAAAGGTTGCTATTAATTCCTGGAGAGCCTAGGGCAAGGCTCTCAGAAATGGTAATCAATGAGGGCCTGGAGACAAAATGAAGGGGGAAGAGGAGTACCATGGGACAAAATTTACCCAATGCAGATGGCTTTGGAAAGCTGAAGAAGAGAGTACGAAAATCAACTGCCAGCCAGAGAAAGAGACTAGCAGCCTGAGAGTATGCCAGTCAACGTAATTACTCCTCTCTTATCTTTAAGTAGGGAGGGAGTTTAAATACAGATGTAACTACTGTATACTTGTACTTCATTGATACGCTGTACTACACACATAACAAGATACTGTTTTACCAGTAGCAGGAAACTTTACTTTGCTGGTACAGAGGTAACAACTTAGTAATGTTTAGACACCACTTAGGTGATTGTGCTATATTTTCAGTGGAGAAAAAAAAATCACTTTAAAAATGCCCGAACAGTCATTTCTAACTCAAGCCACTGTTGATTGTTTTCTTGCTGCTGCTATTAACCATGCGAGCAGAGGGAGGTGGGAAACTTGAAATACCTTTTGCAACAGAATGGTACATAAGGCCAAAATGAAGGACTTGTCTTGCTTTGTTGTGCTAATAAAAGAGGGGGAAAAGATCACAAATGGTGAGTGATGTGCTATGTCTTGTATCAAATCCTATGAACCCGCAAAAGCCTGTGACAGAAAAAAATTTGTCCACAGATGTTTAAATAATTTTGTATAAAAACATCCAAAGGGTTGACTGTATATTTGTATATTTTAGCAAAAACAGTAAAATGCCAAAAAGACTAATAATTCAGTCCTCATTTTTTACATTCTCTCGCCTTGCTTTTACTCTCATAATTTATGCTGTTATTTGATATGCTTGATTAAATCTATCAGATATTTCCACAAAAAAATTACATTGTTAGTTTTTAAGAGGCTGCAGCTAATACTTATGTGTTAAAAACAAGTCCATTGAGTTAGCTGTGTTAGTCTTTTATAGCAAAAATATTGGCATTTCAGAGACAGACATTGATGCATAAATTTTCCTGAATCACAGTCCACTGCAATATAATTCACAAAAGCTTAATAAAATAATATTAGTCTTTAGGTGCCACAAGATTTTTATTGCCAATGAATTTATTTAGGTTTATTACCAAGTAAGTGGGCATAAGATATAATTTAACAAATTTACAAGCAATAGATAAACAAGAACAGAGTTCACTAGTGTCAGAGACTGTTATCTGGTGCTCTGCTTATTTCAGCCCACAGGACAAAAGGGAGGGAAGAAACTGGTTTGCTGTTTAATTTCCCTCCCTGGCCAATTACAAAAAATCTAGTGCCCTACCGCTACAACCATAACTGTTGTAGATTATTGTCATGTAATGGGTGCGTTCATGGTCCCATCAATTAAATGTTGTCATCTTATGGAACAAAGGAAGTGTGCCTTCTCTGTTGCAGCCCCTTCCCTCTGGAACAGCATCCCCCCAGAGATACGCAGGGTTCCCGTTCTTCTTGGTTTCCGGAAGTCTCCTAAGACCTGGCTCTGTTCCCAGGCCTGGGGTAGGGTAGCTGTGGAGCCCTGCTGAATGTTGGCATGTTGGGGAATGTTGTTTTGGTCCAAGGCAATTAAGTGTTTTTTTTTTCATAATATTTTTATTAGAGTTTTACATAATTAAAAGCTAATAGATAATTAGAAAAGATAGAGAAACAAAAAAGAAGAAAGAGAAAAAGGAAAAAGAACGATATAAAAAATTACTCCCCCTCCCTCCAGACAAATATAAGCATTTACAGTGACTTAATACCTTCTCTGATATTACATTAAAAAAATTCTTCCCATTTGTCATCAGTAAACAATAACCAAATTATTAAAAAAAAAATCATCAGTCTTACACAGCAAAAGCATTAAGAGT